TATGCAAGCACGTCCTTCACTTGGGGATCAGGTGTTGGAAATCATTTTGCCCAGCCATCCCCTTAGGTTTTTAGGGTTTAGTGGGGGGTTTCCGTTTAACGCACCAATACTGTAGGTATCCACTTTTGGCAGGGATCTGAAATCACACAGCCCAGTCTTGGAAAACGCAGATCACGTTGAAAGCTACAAACACTGGGCACATGGGACCAGACTGCGATACTGCTAGCATTTTAGTCAGACCCTTGATGCACCTTCTCCGGTCCCTTTACCCCATTAGTTTTCACCCATCATTTTCCATTTATAAGAGTATCTTATATTTTCCCATGTTTTGTAAAGGGAACCTTGCACTACTGGACATACTGTGGATGGACAAAATTCTGCACCCAAGAAACCCTAGAATGATGATTCCCCTGTAAATACCAACAAACAATGGTTCCAACCATGGTTTCCAAGTGGTACGAGAAGCGGATTTCGCCACCATCCACCGGTATTTTGTGACAGTTTTCCAGGTGGCTGAAGCTTAAATGGAGGTGATTTCGTCCATCCACAGTATTTTGTATGTTTTTCAGGTTAAGCAAATGGAGGTCATTTTCTCCCCACTTCCCAAGGTTGGGACTCGTAGGTTCGACCTACGGCCCCAGGTCCTGTGTAGATCCCCACCAGCCCATGAGCTTGTCAATGCCCGGGAGCCCTAAGGGGCCTAAGGGGCCTTTGGGAGGCTTTCGCGGGGGTTGAGTGGAGGAGTGTGTTTGAGGGCCTCACTAGTTTCGCATGGGTTTTTCACACAAAAAAGAGGAAAAAAACGGGGGAATTTCTGCAACTCCACGCAGAAATTCAAAGAGCCAAAATCAAAGAGGCGACAGAAGGTTATTTGTTTGTGGGTTGCAGGTTCTGAGTAGCGACAGACTTTCGATTGTCCAAGGCGCAACCCAGTTTGCCTGCATTCTGGCTAGTCAGCAGGCTAATGTGTTGGCATGCGGGAAAATCCAGGGAGCAATTGCAAGGTTCTCGCTCTTGAAGGACGGGTTTGCGAAGATGGCACTGAAAGAGTTTGTGAACTCGCCTTTTTGGCGGGGTACACCTGTTGAGGGATTCTGTATATCTTTCCCGTTTGGGAAAGGGTTTTGGCGCGTGACCGACCCGGGATGCCATGATGATCTATTTCCTTCCTAGGTGGGGTGCTGCCCAATTTTTCGGTTTGGCTGCGCTGATCACGCAGAAGCTTCGGGGTGTCCGAAAATCTAGCAACCCCCAAAGCTGCTTGTTGTCCTCGAGCCTTCGAAGGGTCGTGCGATGCTGAGGTGTGTTCTTGTCCCTTCTTATTCACCCTAAGGTTTTCTTTTGCGCAGAGGGTCCCTTGGTGCCTCATGAGGATGGTTTTGGGGGGTAAAAAGGTGTCGTTCAGTACCTCCTCAGAAGGTACCAAGGAACCCTCTGAGGTTGTGCACTTATTGTTGCAACTGTCATGTTCTCGAGCAAATTCGCCAACGAGGAACTGAGCAAATTCAGGAGGATTCCAAGAACCGCTCAAACAGTGTCGGCTGCGCAGACGTATTGCTTGGCAGGGGACATGGGGATGGATTTATTGTTTGTTTTGCATTTTTTTGCTCGGTTTGGTCACAAGGGTGTCCTTTACCTGCAGTGTGCTCAGCCCGGGTTTACTTCTCCTGTGTAAGATTTTCCGAACTTGTTCAATGCCCGGTTTTGTTTCCCGGATGGCTGAAATACTTGTTGCTGCCTCGCACCTGGGCCACATCTCCATGATCCGTCCGTGAGAAAAAAACATTTTGCAGGGGGTCCAAGTCTGGAGCTGGAACATGCTTGTTCACTGGAGCGACACGCTGCCGGAATGTGCGCAACGAAGCGGTGTCAATTGCCATTCGTCCGGCGAAAGAGGGAGGTTTTGTAGCATCAGATGTTACAAATACCCGAAGGCTGCGGAAACAAGGTGGTGGTTGCAAGACTTGCAACATGACGCGGCTCCAGTTCTCACCCATTTTCCCTTGTTTGCTTTTGTGGGTCAACCGCAATGGGTTCCCTTGTTCTACCAGCTGGTGGATCCCCATTAGGAGTATAGTAGGTCACCAGCCATGCTTGTTTTGTTTAAACTATTTGGACGGGTTTTGGAATTGGTCACCTACCATAAAGGTACTGCAATCACCGGGGTCACTGGGACGGGCGCCAACCGGAAGCGCCGGAAGCGCCGGAAGCGCCGCAAGCGCCATCGATGTAGAGTTGGCTCAAAGTAGCCACCGCCCCGGCGAAGCCTTTGGTGGGCGGAGACTCGGAACGGATGGTCTTGGGGGTGGGGGGTGGTGGTGGTTGGGTTCTCTTGGGTGGGTTGAGCGTGGGTTTGGGTGAGGGGTTGGGTGGGTGGGTTTAGGGGTGTGAGGATTGGCTGAGGTTGGGGCGGTTGTTGGCAGGGCCAATAGTTGGCTTTCACTAGAAGTTTCCTCCATGTAAGCGCATTGCCAGACATGGAACTTCAAACTACCCTTGAAACTTGCACCTCATCTCACACTTTTGGTGCTAATCCCAATTTTGCATGATAGTTGAGCGTCCAGGGAGCTTGTTTGGGTAGCCAGGCCAGGCCAGGTGAGGGGTGGGGCGCGGTCGGGGTGGGGGCAGAGGACGCGTTTGTTTTCTCCAGTTCACTTTGTGACTCGTGGCAAGGCTGCCTCTTTGAACAAAAGGTGAGCCTTTGACTTTGGTGCATTTTGCTTGGATGTTAGGACTTTAATTTTTTGCCAACCAATGGGTTTTCCAGTAAAGCACCCAAAGTTGAACTTTGAGCAGAAAGCAACCGAGTTGATCTTGACGAGCACTGCGCAGCGAAATGAATCAAGGCCGTGATGTAAGGCAGTCGGGGCTTCTGTGTGAGTCGCTCTGCCTGTGCCGCGCGTGTGCATAGGATCTGAGACGGTTACAACCATTGAACCTGTCAAACGGTTGTGGTTCCTTCGGAGATGCTTACACATGCCTAGAACTCATTTGTCAATTGTAGCCCATTTAGGGTCAGCCAAAATTAGGGGCTTACCACTGAGAAGGATGTGTTGTGTGCAAATGAGCCAGTCAACTGACTGGAACTGAGGCATTTGTGTAGAATGGTTAAGCGCTTTCCGAATCCTTTCGAAGAAGGTCCTTCCAAGGCTTGACTTGGGGAACTTTCAGGGACCACTTCTGGGTCCCCCAGTAGTGCCCTTTTGCCCATTTTTCGGGGAGGGCAAAAAGGGTACCCTTATTCTAAGAGAAGGGCCCGCCATGGGGCCTGCGTTTGTGAAATACCTGAAAAACTCAGAACAACACGCATCAGTACACCATTCCCATGTGCTCTGGAAAAGGACATGTGACCCAAACCTCGAGAAAACCAACACACAAAACCAAAAAACATTCCGCTGGGGGAAATGACCCTGGGGGAAATGACCAGTACCTCCAAGGTTTTGTTCGGGGGATTTGTTTTTCTGATTTTTTGTTGTTGGGTTTCTCGAGGTTTTTGCACTTCCCGTATTGCCCCCTCAGTGTTTTATGAGTATTTCTTTCGTGTTCTCTCAGTGTTCCATTATATAGCATTCCCTGAGAATTCCCTGAAAAGTCATCCTTTGCCCTTTAATATTCCCCCATCCTTGCCATATTCCTTCAGTATGCTCTTGCCCCCAATGTTCTCTCAGCACTCCCCAGTATTCCTTTAATATTCCTCAGTATGTTCCCAATATTCACAATACTTCCCTACTATTCCCTTAATATTCCCCTGGCATTCCCCAAAGTCTTCTCTATTCCTTTAGCATTCTCTCGCCCTAGTAGTTGTATTCTCCTAGTATTCCCTAATATTTTCTTGGAATACCCCTAGCATTCTCCCAATATTCCCCCAGTAACCCCAGCAGTCCTTAGTATTTTCTTGGTTTATTTGTAGTATTCTCTCCCAGTATTCCCCCAGTATTCTCCTAGCATTTCCTCTTGTTATTCCCCTGGTATTCCCTTATTATCCCCTCGGTATTTCCCTAATTCTTTGCTACTCAAAAACTGGAGTGCAGATGCAGGATATCAGGGGAAGTACAAAGGGGAATGCTGGAGCAATACTTGGGGAATATTTGGAGAATACTAGGGGCACACCCAGAAAATACTAAGGAATATTGAACAATATTAGGGGAATACTAGGGGAATACAATTCTAGGGGTAAGGGAATGCCAAAGCAATACTATTAGGGGAATACAACTCTAGGGGAAAGGAATAGGGGCCTATTCGAGGAATATTAAGGGGAATGCTAGGGGAATATTAAGGGAACACTAGTGAATACTATGAAAATGCTAGGGGAATACAGACTACTTGGGGAATGTTAAGGGAATCTCGGAAAACACTGAGGAAATACTAGAGGGTACACCAAGAGAATACTAGAGGAATAGTAGGGGAATACTGAGGGGAATACAGGGTGTCTGCTAGGGAAGTACTAAGAAGCTGCTAAGGGAAATATTGAAGGAATATTTGGGGAACACTGAAACACTGAGAGAAGATTACGAGTATACCAAGTCAATGCAAAAGGAATTAAGGGGAATACCAGGAGAACACAGAGAAGATTGTGAGGCAACATGCGTGGAATATTCGGGGAGTACCAGGAGGGGAATACTAGGGGAATAACAAGGGGAATACTAGGGGTATATTAAGGGAGTACTAGGGAAGCGCAAAGGGTGAATACTCGAAAAAATAATAGGGGATTACTGAAACAAATACTTGGGAATAGTTACTAGGGGAACACTGAGGAGATACTAGAGGGTATAACAAGAGAAGAACTAAAGGAACTTTCTGGGAATACTGAGGGGATGATAGGGGACTACTGGGGGAACACAGATTACCAGGAGAATGCTAGGGAATTACCAAGCAAACTCTTGGGGAACATTAGGGGAATACTGAGCGAATATTAGGGGTATACTAAGAAAATAACAAAGGCACACTGGGGTATAATGCTAGGGACAGGCGGCTTCGATTTTTGTTCGGCGCTCGAGGCCATGCTTTGGCTTCTGCCATTGCTGCACCTCGTCTCAGCCCAGCATGCAACTCGGCAATTCTAAGCGATCGCTGGCGCCAAGGGGACAAATGCCACGCGAGGACAGAGTTCCCAGGTTGATTCCTAACTTGAATGTTGCTCAAGACATGTCCCCATAATTTCCCTTGCTACCTTCTGAGGAGCTACTGAACTACTGAACGACCCCTTTTTTGACCCCCGTTTTAAGCCATCCGCATGAGGTGCCACACCAACCCTCTGGGTTATACTTCTGTTGGTTTGGGTTGGGCTTTTTTTCTGGTGTCGATCAATTTCAGGAGGCTCCGACCATCCTCAGGTACCACGGCATTGTCCGGACTGGCTTTTGAAACCAAACCGCCGTGGGCGGTTCTCGCATGGTGGTTGTTGGGAAACGCTTTTTTTTTTCCTCCATTTTTGCTTGTTGCGGTTGAATGGTTGAAATGCCCACTGAACTGCTAAAATTTGAATCCTTGCTCCCCTTTCAACGTCAACCAAGCTCAGACTCCCAGACCCCTGAGGCTTGAGTTTGGAAGATGGTTTGTGACAAATATGGCCATGGGTTGCAGAGAGCCTATGGCGATCCCATTTTGGGGTGGATGGTTACATCCATTTGCCACCTATTTTGATGTTCACCAGGGGTTTCCTGGGTTTTGACCCACAGCCATGTCCTCGCACCAACCAATGTGGAACCTGACGTTTCGGGGTGTCCTGGAAGACCATTTTCCGTTTTTTTTTAAGTGGAATTCCTGTGAGGTTCCATGTTGATTGGTGGGAGGGCCTCCAACTCCAAGAGTTTTGACAAGGGATCAGCGAAGCACTGAGTTCGCAATTGGTTGCGCTTCAAACGCCTGGGATCTCTCTTGAAAACAATATTATTTGAAAGGTTCACTGAGTATTTGGGCCAGAATCAAACCTGCTATTTTGGTGGGGTGTAAAAGCGACGGGTTGTTTTGTTGGTCAGGCCGTTGGTTCTGTTAATTAGTGTGTTTTCGCTGACGACTTGTAGCATGCAACCATGTGTTCGAGCCGGGTAGCAGTGGGTGTCTGAGTCATGGGTTCGAACCAATGGAGAAACCTATCCTCTCTTCCTCTCTCTTCCATGTTTGATGGGGGTGGCCGTGTGTCCCTGCAACTCACTCATGGTTTCTGGTTTGTCAAGGCACACGCCAGATAACTACTTTCCTTCGGCTTCGGGGCTGGGATTTGGGAACACCGATCGTTGCCACGGCTGGGATTGTTGGAAACCGGAGGCCCGCAAAGCGCCGCAAAGCCAGGCGTGGTGCCCTTTGAGGAGTTGGTTTGCAACCGCCCTTTCGGAAGAAACCACCTCTGCCTACTTCGCGCCTCATAACAAGGCGTTGAAATGCAACGCCCATAGGTGTCCTTTTTGGTTGTTTTGCTAGAACAATAGATGGCGATTCCTGGTTTACCTGGTGGTTTAATCATCTACCAGGGAAATCCATCTATTTCCCCTAAAAGGACACCCATGGCAACGCCTCCCTTGGACATGCCCAACCCCGCCTTTTCGGAAAACGGCGAATCGGGAGGTGATCAAGTCCGAGTGGCTGCGAATTGGGCCCGGCACCTCCGACTCCCTGCTACCAGATGGAGGTGGGGTTTACCTGGAGTCTCCTTCTGACCCTTTAAAAATAGGTCCATGAGCCCACTGCTTAGGGTAATGACCCATGTTTCAAGGGTCAGAAGGAGACTCTAGGTGCAGTCCGTTTTTTCCCCTTCTTTTTTCTTCTCCACACTCGGGACCCCCAAAATGGCGGCTTTCCGTTACCTTCGGCAAAACCAATCACCCAGATGTGACAAGCACATCCCAGCCGCCCAATGGCGCTTTGTTTTCGGTGTTTCCTTCACATCCGCCACCAAGAAAATGTGCTTTTCTGCCCATGGCTGCGGGTGTGGGTCAGAGGCAAGAACAAATGGGTGGTTTCTGAAGAGATGAGCGGAATCAACCAGCCACTTTTAATTTTTCGAGCACGAACCCCAACCCCCCCCTTTTCCTTCCCTAGCCCGAAGGCCCTGAAAAGGGGTTAGCCCCCCGTTTTCTGGTTGAACAGTTTTATCCCTGCTCATCATGCAGGCCGATTGGGTGGGTTGGCCTGCCTCCGAAGTGGGTCCACAACGCAGGTAGCATGCGGGGCATCGCCACGTGCGCCATGCACAGCGGGCTCTTTGACGACTACTTTTTCAAGCAAACTGACGACGATATGTTCCGGTAGTACCTCATGTTGGCCGATGGCCTTGTGTTGGACACAGCTGACTGGAGCTTCAGCCGCGGCCGGCAGGATCTCCTCATCACCCGGGCGCTGGAGCTTGCAACAAAAAGGTTGACTTTGTTGAGTTCAGCATCATCACATCCAAAGAGAAGAGAGTCCGTTTTTGTGTAACCCCCCGGTTGCAAGCAGCTATGTCTCCAAATAGGATGAAGACCCCTCGAACTGGTGGGTTGCCTGGTGCCCCTTTCAGCCCCTCCCCAAGAAGGGACGACCAAATACCTGGACCGCCAATTTGCCAACTTACAAAAGGGAAACCAACCAGAATTTGAGGGCAAGACCTTGTGACCTTGTACATCCTAAATCCAGCCAAAGGGAGGTTCTGGCAAAACCTGTTTTTGAGATCGCGGGCTTTTGATGTATAAGAGAAGGAATTCCAGGTCGCAGGTGTTTTGTTTCGTTTACTTTGGTTAGACTATAGATGGGTTCTCCACTGGTTGTTTGCCGCATTGCCCCATTTACCAAGCAAACCCATGGGATGTTGAACCGAGATGTCGCTCTCTCTTGCCCATGCCCCTGGACCCCGGGGCTTTTGTTCGCCTTAGGCTTCGGCCACTTTTGGAGCGATCAATCGCCCACATGTGAACAACTTCCCGGAAATCCAAAGATGCGGATGGATTGTTTGGGTTTTTGGTGTAAGAAAAAACAACAGCAACACAGATCCTGACCCCATACTGTGGATGGGCGAAATCTTGCACCACTTGGAACCCGGGAAATCATTGTTTGTTGGTATCTACAGGGGAAGGGAATATTTACAGGTTTCATGGGTGGTGCGAAATGGATTTCGTCCATCCACAGTATTTAAACAACCAGTCATAAAGGGGCTACTTGAAGGCTGTTTTGGTGGTTTTTTCGGGCCTAGGGCTCGGATCTTCGAATTCGGCTGAGCGTGTCCTGTGGTTGCAACTGGCTATACACTTTTAGAGCGCTCTGGAAACTGGATCGTGGACGTTCTGAGGAGGTACTTCTAGAGACCCCTTTTTAACCCCCCACAAGCCGTTCTCATGAGGTACCAAGGGACCCTCTGGGTTTGTTGTTCGGTGGCAAAAGTTGTTCCTTTCGTTCGGCAGGTTCCGGCAAAGAAAGGACCACCCCCATGGACGTCCGCCAGAGGCTCTTACATCAAGTGAGCCATAGTGAAAATCCGGGTAGATGAAGGTTTGTAAGGGACAGTCCCAACCACAACTAGGTGCGGTCGTTTTGGGTAGACCATTTTAATACCTGGCTTTAATTGTGACTCAAGTGTCAGGCTACCTCGTAGGTGGGTAATCCTGATTATAGCCCTATAGGCGCCTATACGAGATGAATGTGTGATTTGATTTTTGTTCGGCCTCGGCTACCTCTTGAGTAGAGCACCGAATCGATCAACTTCTGCAGGTAGGATCTCAGCCACGCTCGGTTTCGACGGTTTGTCGACGCTCGCAGCAGGTTTGGGGCAGCCTTTTTACAAGTCCAACGTCACTGGGTGGACCAAGTTGACCTACTCCAACTATGAGATCGATTTCTCCTTCAAGGCGCCGCCCGACATGGTTTGCCATTGCACGACTTTGTTTCGGCCAAGTTGTTTCCCAATTGGAAATGGTTGCCCAATTCACTTGTTGTTTTTGCCATTGAATGTTCGGCTTCCACCTTTGGACTGGTTTCACCTTTGACTCCATGCTGGCCAATAGAGGTGAGAGGCCTTCTGCGGGCTGGAAGGATCGGTCGAGACATGCGAAGCACGTACGGGATTTGCTGCCTGGTTTTTGGTCGGAGTCTGAGACGAGGAAATTGGAAATAGACCAAGGAGCATTCAGATCTGCGAAGGTAGCAAAGATATTGACTCCTTTTGTCCGGAATCGACCCCCCCAAAAATGTTCTTTTTTGTTGTTCCCCCCCCCCTTTTTGTTTCCCTTCACCACCTACCACCAAAAAAATGTGTACCAACTCCCAAGCAAAAACAGACCCATCTAGTTGACATTAAAAGGTTTCTCTATTATCACTACTGGAGATGGTCTTTTTTCAGGGGGCGTAAGCGTATCCGCAGATGGAGGAGAAATCGAACGAGGTTGTGCGGTAGTCTGAAACCAAAGTTTAATACAGGACGTCAGCCCATGAGTTTTCGTGTCTTTGGGGTCCCGCTAGAAATTATAAAAGGGTGAGAAACGCAAACAAGAGGGCATTGCAAATCTGGGATTCTGGATGACCATGCCATGATTTTGGTTGCTTGAATAGCCCATCGGATATTGGCATGGTTTTAGATTTTTGTTTTTTGGTCAATTTGCTCTGTTCATGTTTAGTGGCGGGCTGCAAAAGTGCAAAGCACGTTGCTATCATACTAAGTGGAAAGGCTTGCAACCAGTAATGTTCCTTTAGTTTTCTCAAGGATGCTTCCTTTGGTTGCCCACTCATACCCCGGAGTCAGCCTTGTGCAGAATTGGAGGGGCGTTCCCCCAACAAAACATGCCCTCTTAAATAGAAAACCCTTCGTATTGGTGAACCAGGGGTTTATTATTGCTGGGTTCACATTATTCAGGGAACCTCCAAAGGCGGCAATTTCAATGGACACCATGAGCATGGGACATACTAAGAAACCCTAGCTTTGGAGGATTCCCCAACGTAAATATCAACAAGCAATGGTTTCATTCCCATGGTTTCAAAGTGGTGCGAAATGGATTTCGCAACCATCCACTGTATTTTTCAGGGAAATGCAGACACTGGAGTATGAAACATGCACCGGTAAGCCTTGGGATCCTGCATTTCCCAGGCGATTGGCCCATTTGTTGACAATGGCGTCGGCTTTCCTGTTGGTTTTCAACACCAAACAGGGGGTACCAACTCAACAAGAAGACATCCACATGGCCCCACAAACTGCCCGTCAAAATGGGGGCGGGGGTATTCCTTCTACATCAAACACCCGCTACAAACGGAGGATCCGTCTCGAAAGCACACCGAAACACCACGGCACCAGTTTAGAACCTATTTTAGTGGTTGGATTGGAATGTTCACCGAGGGCTAACCGGGATTTTGACCCATGGCCAAAAGTGATGAATTCCCACTAAAAGGGGACACCCCCCTATTAATCAAGCAGGGGTTTATTAACCCGGGGTTAACATTACCGGGTTTTGACCCATGAGTCGGCTAGCTGTCAGGTGGACGGCCAGCTTGCCCGCATTGCCAGCAGGGAGCTCGGAGAGCTTTGTGGGAAGCTCTGCTTTTGGCGTGGCTTTAGGATTTTACTGTTTGCTATTTGGCCTACGGTCATGGTTTCCTAAATAGGAATCACCAAAATGGTTAAGCTTCTTAGTAGAGAGGTTAGAACCCAGCGGGTCCCTTGGTACCTTCTGAGGAGGTACTGAACGCCCCCTTTTTACCTCCAAAAGTCATTCTCATGAGGTACTTGGACCCTCTGGGTGTAGTCTGTTCATTACCAGACGGTCCCTTGGTACCTCATGAGAATGGCTTTTGGGGGTAAAAAGGGGTGTAAATACCTCCTCAGAACGTACTTGGACCCTCTCGGATTTTAAGTTGGCTGCAAACTCTGACACGTTCCGGGCATGGCTCGAAAGGAGATTCCTCCCCAGCCGGGTCGATTCCAAGCCACTGCGTTTTGGTCTTGGGATTTTGGACAGGCTCCTACCGGTTTTGCAGGTGTATCGATATCATGTTTGGGTGGTTCGTTTCCCTTGGTTTCTGGTGGTAATATTGTTGAATGTGGGCAAACTTTCATGAGCTCACCTGGTAAAACGAGCTCTGCCCATGATGAAAGTCCTTGGCCGGTGATCGTTCTTTCCGGTTGGTAGCAATTTGACGAGACATCGTCATAATTTTCGAAATCCACAAGGCCAAATCCAGAAAGGAAGCAACCCACCCCCCTGAAGGAGACCCCCAAACACCCCCCCCCCCCGCCTCTGCCACACACATTCTCTTGGGACAGACGAATTAAAATAGACCATGTTTGGAGTTGTGTTTGCAGGGGTCGTGTTTTTGGCGGGTCCTAGAGAGAAGTCCATGATGAGGACAGCTGCAAGTTGGCTATGTTGCTACAAGGTAGTGAAATCGATTCCCTGTAAAACCAACCTGGGAAAAAAACCTATTCTTAAGCAATTGGAAGTATGGAGGTTGGTCCCTTCCATTCGCTGAGTAAAATCTTTCCCAAGAATCTGGTTCCGGACGCGAAAGCACTTCAAGTAACAACAAGCTCCACCAGTCCGCCTTGTGCCAGACAGCCTTTGGCCACGAGACCGACAGGTCCATGGTCTCACCTCCACTCACCTCTCGGTAGCCGGTTCCACCGGCTCAGGTTTGGAGGGGTACAGGTTCATACAGGCTGCATAAACTTACCTTTTCATATCATTATTAGTATTTATATTCGTTATATTATTGCTCCATCATCATGCCTGAATTTCGTTGTATGGTCTCAACCCCATTCTAATTCTGGGTTTGTCTCAAAATTGGGGGAACCCCCCCAAACTTCCTTGGTTTTCTCTTGGTTTTTCCTTTAAAGACCCACCACAGGGGGTCCCCCCAAACAGACGCATTTCGTTCGCCCCGTACCCTCGAGATGACGTGACTCTGAACTTTGTGAACTCCTCCTACGCGGAGTCCACCGCGCAGCTGGTGCTGGACGGCGTGCCCCAGGCGGCTGAAGTTCTGAGAAAAGGGGCGGGGCGAAGGTCGACACAGGTGTCTTGGTGGCTCCCAGCCATCCGGTTCCTTAGCTTTTTAGCCTTTTAGAGTTTGGTGGTAGTTTCCATTTGACCACTAAGAGTTAAACTTTTAGCGGGGGATCTGAGGGCAGGTCAGGTGTGTCTTTTCTTTGAGAGCACCCCTTTTCTTCAGTTGTTAAGGGGAAAACCCTAGGACAACCTCCATTTTTTTTTCCGGGGGGGGGGGGGGGAAGGGGCTGGAAACAGACTAGGGTGAAAATAGGGTACTCCCTTCGTACCCGATAAAACCACAATGGAGAGGCTGTGCTGTCTACTTTCAACCAACTGTACCCGTTTTCGATCAAACATAGACGTGCGCTCATTTGTCCAAAGCCTGTCGTTTACTTCTCGAAATCGCCATATTGGATTCGCCTAACCCTTTCCAATTGTGGAGCAAGGGCCCCATGCTCCGCAATTGGAAAGGGTTAGGCGAATCCAATATGCCGATTTCGCCAAGAAGTAAAACGACAGGCTTTGGACAAATGAGTGCCTGCAAGAGTACAATCTTTCAGGGGAAACCTCCCGTTCTGAGTCCAGAGATTTGAATCTTTCCAGAAAATCACCCGAAAAGAGCGGAACGGTTCCTTGTTTGAAGCAAGATGTCCTCTTCTCCTCTTCCGGTTGGACCTCCCCCCCCCATTCTTTTGCAACAAGTTGGCGCCCCTTCTCTTTTTCCAAGACGCGGGGGCCACATGTGGGGGCATCCAGCATCTCACTCCCTGGGTGATTTTAACTTTAGACTTTTTGGGTGGACAGCAACAAGTGAGCCACAATCAAAACCTGGGTAGATGAAGGTTAGTAAGGGACGATCCCAACCAGAAATAGCTGCGGAATTCCGCCTTCTTAATCCTGTACAGGGTTCTGGGTAGACCATTTTAGTACCAGGTTTTGATTGCGACTCAAGTTGGGACCTTGGTTTTTTCTGCAGCTGAAAGCCATGGGGTCTCTGCCCAGAAATTGGCTCTGGTGTGGTTTGGAGCAGATTTCAGGGAGGGTTGCGGAGGTTGCAGAGAGTTGCGGGGCTGGGGATACCTGGGCTGATTTGTAGCTTTACCCCATTGGGTTTAAAGGGAGTCGAATTCAGTACTGGACTTCTTTTTTTGTTTCCGCTTTTCCCCAGGGGGCGCATCCGCAAATGGAGGATGCTTACAACATGGTTGTGCGGTACTCTGAAACCAAGCTTGGTCATAAGCCTATGAATTCGTGACCTTTTGGTTTCCCTGGAAGCCATACAAGGGGACGGATTCCTAAGGTGGACACAAGCGAGCGTTCTCTGCCTTTTGCACCTCAGGCCACTCTGAAACGAGACTTGGATGCACTCGTGACATCTCGTGACGAGAGTTTCGGGGCTCGTGGTGGGACACGAAGGCGGATTTCATGAAGCCCAAAAAGCAGCGATCACCATTTCAGTTGGTTCTACTTGATCGAATTAGCCATAACCCCTATAACAGGTAACCAGGAGAAGCCAAGATGGAAAACCCTGGAGGTAAATATACCGAAGGGTTCTGGTGGCGAAACGCCTGGAAGCACTTGGCGCTTTTTGCATTCCTTTGATGCTTTCCAAGGGGGCGCGAGGTGGGTAGGGGTCTCCGGAGACCAGAACGATGTTAAAAGGGCAAATTCAATCCAGAATCCGAACATATTGTTTTCCCGTATATTTCAGCTAGGTGCGGCCGTGCCTTTCTTTCATTCGGAGGATCAGTTTAATATGATTTCCTTGGGTTGTCTTCACCAGGGACCTCCGAATGGGAGTACGCTTCACAAGCCTTGGCTTTGGTTCGACCTTTAACTTGCTGGTTCTATAAACCATCCCCTATGGTTTGCTAGAGAATCATCAAACGGCACCAAAAGTGGATGGATCAAATTTATTTCGAACCACTTTGAAGCCATGGGAACCATTGTTTGTTGGTAGTTGCAGGGGAATCATCAATCCAGGCTGCAGGTTATCGTCCATCCACTGCAGTAAGCCTCCGCTTTCCCAGCACGGATAGAGAACTATAAGATTCGTTGCCCAGACCCTCATATCGGGGTGTCTGTTTTATAGGGGAACCCCTGTTGGGTTGGTGAAAAAGAGGAAACCAAGAGGAATACCATGATTTTTGGAGTCCCCATATGTTGAAACAAGCCCATATAATATATTTAGGACGTTTTGTCCCAAAAGGCCAAACCACGCATTGTTTGTTGCCTAGCGGCTCCTTTGTGGGTTTTCCGAAAAAATGATCTCAATAAAGAACGGGGAGGTTTACGGGGTTAGACATGTTCGATATGCATGAATTAACCTCTGCGTGTGGCTCGTTTTTAAGGGCCTTGAAAAGGGGGTAGTTTGAAGGGAAACCAGATTGCCAGCCATCCCCCTAGAATTTTAGGATTTTAGGGTTTTGGGGTTTGGTGGGGGTTTTCTTTTAACCGACTCCGGGTTAGGCACTTCAAGCAGGTGATCAGTTTGGACAGCCCAGAAAGGGACAACCACAACTTTGGGGGTCCAAATTCCTGCTTGCCCTTTAAGGGTCCCGCCCAATCCCGAGCGAGCGAAAGCCATGATGTAATGCTGACCCCAGATCTCAGTAGAACCCCTCCTTATCATCAGGGTGTTTTTTGTTTTTCGCGGGGATTCAGACCACCTTTGGAGGGGCCCCCATCCCAAAATTGGTGTCTAAAATCCGGGCATGTGGTCAAGGGAACCACGCTTTGGGTTCCCTTGTGGCGCCAAGACGGGTTCCTTGCCCAAGTCTGTTCCGTACTTTTGATTGTCGCCCCAGTTTCGGGTTCCCTACAAAAAAAAGAGCCCCAAAACAGGTGTTCCTGGCCCCTGGGTTCTCAGTTTTTTCCTCAGTTTAAGGAAGCACTGAACGACCCCTTTTTACCCGCGAAAAGCCATTCTCAAGAGGTACCCAGGGACCCTCTGGGTTTATACGCCCTCAAACCGGGTTCAAAACGACCGGCACGGCTCGAGTTTTTGCGTCCCAGGGACCTACAACTTCCTCTTCCAAGGCTCGCGAGAGATGTTTTGTCCAATGAATTCGTCGATTGCCCTCAGCGCTCGCACCCTGAGTTCAGGGACTCGGACTTTACCTGGAGTCTCCTTCTGACCCTCTAACAATGGTTGGTCGTTGCCCTAAATACTGGGGTCATGGACCTATATTGAAAGCGTCATGGAGACTCCAGGTCACATTTTTGGGGTTGGTTGCCGATTTAGTGGCAAAAAGAACTCAGGAAGGGATAGATTGCTATGTTCATGGTTTGATCGTTCCCGTTAGATCCACGCGTGGCTTTCCCGGCTGAAGGGTGACTTGAAATGAAAGAAGTTCGGCTTGACTCCGGCGCCCTCCGATAATCCGGAGAATGGGTTTTGCGAAGCAAGGTGGTTTTTTTCCATTTGCTGAAATGAGTCGTTTTGTTATTTTCCCTTTTTGGTTTTGAAAGGACCCTGTCACTACTGGATCTTTTTCTCAGGGGGCTTCAGCAAATGGAGGCTTTACAAGCATTCAAGGGAGTCCCGAAGTGGGAAACTAGTCGTGGAATCCTCGCGTGATACCAAGAAGGCTGGCCCCTGGGTGTGTCTTTTTGAATGAGTTAGTACCCCTCTGGAACGCCACAGCCAGGCTGCAGGGTCCGATGCCCGAAAAGAAGGACACACCGGTTTGCCAAGGAATGGGACCCGAAGACAGGGAGCCTTTCGGGGCAACTCAAGCTTTTAGATGTCCATGGGTCCACAAGGCCCCCCTCCCTTTTCCTGGAGGGTCCCTTGGTACCTTGGTAGGAGGTACTGAACGACCCCTTTTTACTCCCCCAAAGCCATGCTCATGAGGTACTTGGACCCTCTGGGTTTTGTCGGTTGATTTTGGAGGGAGAACGGAAAATCAACAACAGGGACCTGTGCCTCGCACAGCTCTTCTTTGCAGACTCAGACCTAAAACAAACAGTACCTGGCCCTGCAAACTATTAACCATGGGGTCGGCCGTTGCACCAGAGGGGGACTCAGGTTGACTTTTTTGCGAGCCAAGTGAGTGTAGTGTGTCTTGTTTAGGAATCGGACCCTCAGAATGGCTTCGGTGTTCGTTTTGTTTTCTCTTTACCCACACAAAAGGGGTGCCAACTCAAAACAGCCAGCTCCAAATCCCACTCCTGTTCGACCAACTGAGTAAGCAGATTGGACCAGCGCCGAGTTATCAGCCACTTACTAAGTTGGTTGGACATCCAATAACGGCTGGGTTTTCTTCCACACAGGATCTAACTCAAAGAGCGTGTGGCAAAATCCACTTAAGTGAGTTTTTCTCAAGTCCCCTGCAACCAACACACATTTCCTGTAGTGAAATCGGTTCCCCTTCAAACCAGCAGGGGAAAACAATCAATACTTATCCAGTGGATCCATTTACCTTTATAGTAGGAAACCAGGGGCTTGCCACCCTTTGAAAATCAAAGGAAAATAGCTGGTTAGCTCCTATATGGGCTTGCCTCGGTTCCACTGAACATTTTTCCTCCTATCCAAGCGTCTAAAATGAAACACGGCTCCAACCCATGGTTCAACCGCAAGAAGGAGACGTTGCCAACCGCGTGAAGGGTCCAAATCCACAAAACAAAACAACCCCCCCCTCCCCCCGAACCCCACCAAAACCCACCAAAACCCACCAAAACCCCACCAAAACTCCACCAAAGCCCAAACCCCGAAAAAGCTGACTAAAACGCTTGACACCCACCGCCCCCCAAATGGAAGTCATCACCCCCCGTTGGCTTCCTTCGCCGTCCAGGCGTGGTCTTCCAAACCTCACTGGAGGTCACCGCACTCAGAGACCTCGACAGCATCGAGGCCCAAAGAATCCACGGGCTCGTCGCTCGTCGTTTTGTAGGTCCCGCCGACTGAGGTGGAGGCGCCCAGACCCGGAAGTGGTTGGCCCCGTATCCATCAATTTGGGCGTGGGGCAACACCAACGGTACCATTGTTGGGTAGGTGCACCACACATTTTAGTATACTTTAGTGGGAATTGGGATGTTCACTACCTGGAACCCTAAAAGGCCAAATCTAAACGGTCGTCCAGAAGTGGCACGTGTGAGAACGGTCGTTTGCTTCAAACACGGCCGTTTCAAGATTGTCAAACAACTGTCAAGTTTCGAAAATGTGTGCAACACCTCAGCCGCAGCCCCTTTTCCACGAGCTCTGCCCTTTCCGGAACGGCTACAGCCTTAGCGGCCCGCAGGGCTACGAGGGGGTGGGCACAAGGCTCGCCAAGTGTTGTTGGTTGATGCAATCTCCTCGTTCTGAAGCTCACATGCTGCACAGGTCAAATATCGGTAAAGAGTTTTGCGAGCCACCTGCATCGGCGCCACTCTCCGACTAAGTCGTGAAACTCGTCCAACAAAATCTTCACTTTGAAACGTCGATTGCGAAAGCGGGCTCTCGAACATTCCCTGTCTGGTGTGCTGGTCCTGAATCTCCATCACCAAGTGATGAAACATGTGTGTCTTTGGCTTTAAGGCAAATAAGCAAAGATTTGCGCGGTGCGCCAAAAGCACCAAGAGACGATACGACTCTATAAACGAAGTTGCTGCAGAAACAGCATCCGCGGACTGTTGACCCTGGACAAAGTACCCTGCCCCGAAGAGCACACCCATTAAGGCGCCCATCGATTTGCATGCTTGCAGCAAGTGCTCCAGGATTGGGTCACGTGCGACTTGCTCACTCCGGGCTGGGACCTCCAAGATATGCAGCATGAAGCGCATCAAAACTACAGTGTCTGCACCTTTGGACCAATGCCCAAACGGAAAGGAAGCTGTGCTCTCATAGCCCAGTAAATCCAGAGTCAGTTCAGAACAATGTAAATAGGTGCCCTTCATGTTCTTCAGCCACTGTTTCAACTCTACGTTCATGAGATCCAGCTTGGCTTGCACACCCCTGCCACGGTACAAAACCTTTGTGCAGTAGACCAAGCCAGAGGCCACCACATCCTTTCCCAGCCCGGCGTGAACAATATGGAATAGATCCGGGCAATAGAAACGAGCCTCATTGCTGGGATTTGTGAGGCAGGACTTCAAAAGTGGGCCTGGGGCCTCCCATGGAAGGATGTTGGCAGAGCCGCAGGTTGGTAGCCAGCAGGGAGTTGCGGTCAGGTCTTCAAAAGGAAGTTCGTCACTGCCAGCCCCGCAAAGCCAACAGCATCCTGTAAGCGCAGAAGTAGCAGTGTGGGATTTCCGAATGTTCATAAAAGACCGAGTGTGTTGGCCAGCTTGGCGTAAGAAAGGAGCATCGCCAGTCAGACCCAGAATGAAAACCCTCCATGTTTCGCCACTTGCTGAGAATCCATCCTGAAAAAGACGACCCAGGTCTTCACCCCATTTCTCCAGCAAGTTCAAGAATACAGCTTCGTTTTTTTTATAAACATGCGAGGGCATACCTGCAAACAGCCAGCGGTTGGACATAGTGTGGCCCCTGAGGTTCACTCCCATGGGATGCTCCTGGGGCGCACTGCGCTTGCTACCGCGCGGATCTGCACTGCCACTTGCACGCAAGTCCACTGGACAGTTCCGGGTTCCGGCTCCCAAAGCGCTATAAATTGACAATATCATAATCGATTTTTTCTTGAAGCCGCGGCCACCGTCGCCGTGACAAAAGTACGGCACCAGCCTTGAAAAATCAAGTTGTGGATGTTCCTCGTCACAAAAAAGTGAATGTCGAGGGTGAAGTCTTTTGTACTGTTCCCAGAACTTTGGCAGAACCTCTGTGGCTGCATGCGCGTCCACACCCAAAATGTTGCTCAAGAAGCCCTTCGCAGCTAGTTGTTCCAGCAAGTGTTTGGGCCGAAGAACCGGGAACTTGTCCACGCCATAGCCCAAATCTAAAGTTGAAATTGGCACGTTCAACGCCAGCCCTCCTTTTTGAAAGGCCTTAAAAACTACATCGTCGCCGTCTTTCAGCCGCCCTCGCTCCATGCCTTCCAGGACTGGGCAGGCCTCGCGCTTTGCTGCGACCCTGGCGTGCTCGAGGATGTGCCTGGCTGGGGCCTCAGTGCGGGAAGGCGATGTGGGTTGAGCGAGGCATGAGCAGGCAAATTGCAAGCCATGCGTGCGCGCAGGGCATCATGCGACTGCGCATGTTTTCCCCCGTTGCACCAATCACATGGCCGAACATGTGTGAAACCCAATTGTACACAACGTCCATGCGTGGCCCAATGCAGCAGCTGCATAGCTGCGCGCAATGGCCAATGGCGTAACACATCGATCGAGCCCTAGTTTTGGTCAGCAATAAACAAGTTCCTTTTGCGAAGCGTTTGTGGCTGCGCAATAGGCAAAGTATGGAGGAGGGAACCGAGGGTGGAAGCTCTTGTCTCTCATGCTTTCACCGCCTAGTCGTTGATTCCGACAGTTCTTCTCACCATCGTAAAACTCAGCAATCAGAGCTGCCTCTAGCATTTCCAACTGCCCGAGCAAGGCGGACGAGGTGACCTTATGAATCACCACAAATGCTTTGAAATGTTGGTTTCGGTAGCTCTGCCTTCGTGCGACAGGGTTGGAAGTAAGGCCGATCTTGAAGATGCATAATTGAAATCCACCGTGTTGTCGCCTGATGGCGTTGACCACATCCACACAATGCCATAGGATCGAAGATGCCAGGGCGGTTTCTTGTAACACACGCTCTTGCACTGGTTCCTGCAGCAACACTTGTTCACAAGTACCATGTGCAGCGGTAGAACTGATAGGAGAAGGATGTTCTTCATCTTCCGAGTCCGACCAAGGAAACATAGTGTTCTTCTTGCGGAAAATGCGTCGAATGAGTGCGCTTTCATCCATGGTGCGATCAAACCGTCTTGGGCTTGCATGGAAATTTTGTGCTGCATGCACGCATGCATGTATATTGGCAGGATCAGTCTACGACGCACGTGCTGCATGAACATGCATCCGTGCATGCATGCCTCGACCACATGTATTCTGTGTGTCTTTTTGATCAGTTGCACATATAGACCTTCGAATTGATCTATATGTTGCTTATCAAAGTTAAGTTGGGTTTTGTATTGAATTGGGACCCAGATCGGGGAAAACCATCCATGTATGCAAATCACACAGGTTTCGTAAACTAAGTACTTTCACACAACACTCCAGTTCGCCTTCCAAGGTCGGAGCTCCAGTCCCATAGCGCCGTGCAAGAAGGCGGGCATCGTCGCTGGGGCCTGGCACGAGGCATTTTGGTGAATGGCCACATGGAGGCCTCTTTGAACGATGCGATTTGTCGCGTCTTTTTTGGTGAGGGTAGCCTGATTGTTTTTTTTGACGGGGTATATACCATGAACATGAAAAACTATGGCGCCTTCGGCTCACGCCCCTTACTTGGGTTGACCACGAACGCAAGTGCGCACGGAAGCAGGCTTGAACTGCTGCTTTTCCAGCAACTTACATCGAGCTGCATCCATCACATCTATGTAGCGATTAAATTTGCCATGGGTGTCTTTCCTTCCCAAAAACGCTCGCAGTGTTCAGCACTGCCATCCCCGCGCGTATGTACGCGCACAAATATCCATCAAGAGAGTGCGTGTGGTTCGATCAAAAGCAAATCAGATTTCCGAAAAAGCTCAGAACATCTCAGAACCATGCATGCATGCACATGTTTTTGTGGTCAAGCGCATGCAGTTAAACACACGGTCGGTCTTGATCGATATCATCCCCGCTCACTGGAGTCCTCCAAGCGCAGGACTTAGCCCGCCCTGGCCAACCTGCGAGCCTTCGTGGCCAGGCGCCTCAGAAGCTGAGTCGGCGCAGCGTACGCGGGCAAGCCAGAATTGACCACACTTGTGATGCCACGCACGAAGAAAGTTTCACATGCGCATGCATCGACAATAGCACACGCTTGCGCCGCGATTTCCAACCCTGACTGCATGGTTTGGGGGCCGCGCTTGTTTGCAGCCTCCCAGGATGTGGCCCTCGACATCCTTGGCGCCGCGATCATTGATCAGGCTTGCTGCAGTCCAATTCGCCAATGTCAACCCCCTTTTCGAGATCAAGAGTAGACCCTCTATAGTTCTCAGCCGCATGGTATCGGCATGGTTGAAAGCAAATGGCGCCATAGTCAAACATGCATGCATGCATGCATGCACATGGATTCACCCAAGAATTCGCCATGCAGGGCTTGTCCGATTTGACGGCTGCAAAGGTCCTGCAATGTAAAAAGCCCCAGCTAGGGAGTTATTTACAAAGTGATGTATACTTGGTTCCAAGAGCCAGATTGTTCATGTAGCCTTGCGAACAAGCGTCAGCTTCTGGGCGCTTTTGAAATGCGCCTCTAAGTCAGCCACCAACCTGATCAAGTGGGGGGCGGGGGGGGGTTCGAACAAACATGCGCGGACTGGTGCGCGCATGATGAATGCAGTTGGGGAACTGTGTCACAAAGCCTGTTGTTTTGCCTTCTGCTTGGACCTCCGACAATGTCTCGTAGACCTTCTCGAATTCCCCATGATAGCCTTGAGCTTGCCCAGCGCCCTTGGCCACTTGCGCATCACAAGGTATGATCTTAATGGCCATGCAGTTAGGGGTTCCTATACAGCCCAGCCGCTCTTTGCAGGCCGGATCATCAACTGCTTCAAGAGCCTCGCCAATCTTCGCAAGGCCATTCCGCGCTTTGAGAACCTCCTTCATGTGCTCCTCCAACTTCAGCTCTACCTCAGCCACAGTTATAGCGATTAAGTAATTCGCATCGACTTGTGCATGTGCCGGGATCGATTGAATGGCAATAAACCCTCACCCCCTCATAGGTTTTGCGTGGGGGTGCATCAAAGCGGCGGATTTGAGATGTTCACCTTCCTGTTTCAAGTTCGAGTCCTTCTC